CCTACCTTCTTCCTACTCCCGTGGTCGCTGCGACCTCGTCTACCACAGCACCCTCGCAGCCTGCCGCTGTTGCCACCGCCGCTCCCCCATGCGGCCCGGGCGCACAGTCAGCTGCGCCCCTTTCTCCAGGACCTGCACCGACTTACTCAGTCGTGGCACAGGCCTCCGCTCCTCGATCCCCTCGCCGCCAAAACGGTGGCGCACCACTCATCCGCTTGTTGGACATTGCCTTGTATGACGGTACAGGCATACGCGTGTCTCGGTGGCTGCAGTCTGCCACCCGCACACTCCAGCTCATGGGCGCCACACCCGAGACGTGGGTGGGTCACCTCTCCACGCGCCTGCGTGGCGGTCCTTTCGAGGCCTGGGAGGATTTCTATGCCTACTCCCTTCGTGAGGGTCGGACTCCGACCTTCATGGATTTCCAGGCGTTCCTCGAGGATCGCTTCGGAGCCCGATACGACGTGACTGACGCCTTCGAGCGTGTCGTCACTACACGCTGGTCCGGCTCTGGTGGCGCTACCGTCCTGGATCGCCACATCCAGGTCTTTCAGGACGTCCGCCTCGTTTGCGACGTGGCGTTCCTCCCCGAGGCTGCCCTTATCGATCGTTTCTTGGCCAGCCTTCCGCTCGAGTACCGCTCCGAGCTATGGCGGTACGAGTTCACATCGGCCCCACAGGCTTACGAGGCCACCAGGGACCACCAGCGGATGCGAGTCCGTCTTCACCCCGCCTCCTCCTCCCAGCCCCAATGCACAGGCTACGCCTCCTCCTCCTCTCACGGCACTTCCCAGCGCCGTTCCCCTTTCCGCGGTCGCCCCCGCCGTTCCACGCAGCAGGGCCGCCACTTCTCGCTCCGCTTCAGCGCGCTAGAGTATGATGAGCAGGACGCTGTTGCCCCATTGTCATCTGAGGGCGACCACAGCGACGACCTCGATCTCTGCGAGGCCGTCCACTATCACTTGGAGGACTCTACCCTCCCTGCAGCTGAGCGCCTTCAGCTCGCGCTCTCTGCCCTCTCTCGGGCACGCAGCCGCCCCGGTCACGTTGGCGCATCGCCCCCCGTGGTCCCTCAGGAGGACCTCCCTCAGGGCTTCGTCCCTCCTCGTGGTGTCCTTTCCCCTGAGGAGCGCGCGGCTATTCTGGGCCGGCGTGGGTGTTTGCGCTGCCGCTTGGACGGTCATACCTCCTCGCGGTGCCCTTGCGCTACCGCCCTCGACCGCCACTACGCTGACCTTTCTCGTCAGCGTCGTGCTCAGTCTCCCCCGGCGCCTCACGTCCCCGCGGCGCCTCCTAGCCACGGTGCAGTGTACACCTGCGCCCTCCTCAGTAGTGGGCTTCCCGACATCTCCGTCGCGGTTCGCCCCTCTCGCTACTGGAGTTGAGGTATCGCAGGACTCGACAGAGTGTACTCAGCCCTCTGTCGCCGTACCGTCTACGCCCCCGCAGACCACCGTCTCCCCTCCTCCCCCGCAGCGACTACTGACGCGTCGAGCCATTCGCTCAGCCTGTTGCAGTGAGCAGCTTGCTACTCGCGAGGACGTTGTGTSCTCTCTTCTGGACTTGAGCATGCTCCAGGCTCGTCAGGAGCGACTCACCCTCCATGTCGCTGCACTGCTCCGCCTTCTCGCCATCCTCTCTGACCCTGATCGCACCCTCCCGATCATCCCCGTACGACTCGGGACCTCCACGAGGGTGTACTCAGCGCTGTGGGATTCTGGTTCTCAGGGCGACTTCATTCACCCACGCGTGGTGAAGGAAGCCCGCTTACCCATGACAGGGTCTCCGACTCCCATCTCTGTTACCCTAGGGGATGACAAGACCCAGCGCTTCTTCGATCAGACGGTCAGCGACCTCCCCTTCTTCCTCACTCTCGAGCCGACTGAGTGTTCCCCGGCGTCCCGTCGCCACCGCTCCTCTGCACATTTCGATGTGATGGAGACAGGGTACGACTTCATTCTCGGCACTCCGTGGTCTCGTCGGTTCCACAACACCAAGGCCGATTGGGTGACCAACACTCTCGTTCTCAAAACGAAGTATGGACAGACGTATCGCGTACCTTTTATAGGTACCACGGCGAGACCACGCCCCGATCCTCCTCCCCCGGAGCCTTCAGTGCCCACACCATCTCCCTCTATCACTGTCACCTCGCCTCGGCAGTTCGCTCACTTCATTCGACAGGACGACGTCACCTTCTTTATGGTGGACGCGACGGATCTCTTACACTATGATCCATCCTGTCCCGACGCCGAGCTCATCCCTCTGGAGTCAGATCCTCCCTCTATCTCCATGGCTCCCATCTCTACTTCCGTCCCTCCGCCGTCTGTCGAGTCCACCCCGCCGTCGCGCGCTGACGCTGAGGAACTCGCACGATATACGGCTGACTTGGAGCCCGCAGTTCGTGACATTATCCGAGAGTACCACGACGTTTTCCCATCGTCGTTCTCGTACGCCGGCATCCCACCGATGCGTGACGTCGAGCACTCCATTCAGCTCGTGCCTGACTATCGTGTTCACCACCAGGCACCTTACAGACTCTCGATCCCCGAGGCCACCGAACTCAAGCGTCAGCTTGAGGAACTCCTGAGACTGGGTTTCATTAAGCCCAGCAACTCCCCATGGGGTGCACCCGTCCTCTTTGCTCGCAAAGTGGATAGAACTCTTCGTCTCTGCATCGACTACCGCGGCCTCAACCGCTACACGGTTAAGAACAGCTACCCCATGCCTCGTTCCGATGAGCTGTTTGACCGCCTAGCAGGCAACCGCTTCTTTACGAAGATTGATCTTCGTAGCGATTACCATCAGATCCGCGTCGCTGCAGCTGACCAGCCGAAAACCGCGTTCCGTTCGCGATTCGGCCACTACGAGTTCACGGTGATGCCATTCGGCCTCACCAACGCACCCACTACCTTCTAGAGGGCGATGAACGACATCTTCAGGGACATCCTGGAGCAGTACGTTCTCGTCTACCTCGACGATATCCTGGTCTATAGTCGTACCCTTGATGAGCACCTCAGACACCTYCGCGACGTCCTTGACCGCTTGCGCGGACATGGCTTCTACGCCAAGCTAAGCAAGTGCCGCTTTGCCCAGCACAAAGTGGATTTCTTAGGACACTACGTGTCTGACCAGGCTCTCCATATGGACGACGCGAAGATCACTGCTATTGCGGAGTGGCCCACTCCCACATCCGCCAAGCAGCTTCGCAGCTTCCTAGGCCGGACTAGCTACTATAGTAACTTCATCCGGGGATACGCTAGGTATTCCTACGTCCTTACCTCCACCCTCCTCCGGAAGAGCCCACCCTGGGCTTGGACACCCCTCCACGAGGACGCCTTCCGCGCCCTCAAGAAGGCGGTGACATGCGCACCGGTTCTTC